GAGGCGCTGTTAGCTGGAAGAGTTCCAAGCAGGCGACGAGACTAGCGAAAGAGTACAACAAAGAAGAGGCGTTGATGATGGTAAACGTGGCGATCCTCTGCACGAGCCAGGTGGCGGCGGAGAGGCCGACCATGTCGACGGTGGTCAGCATGCTCGAGGGCCGTACGACGACGGAGGTTCGGAAGCTTCTAGAAGGTTCTAATGGAAGTTACAGAGATGAGGAGAGCGTGAGGGAGATGAAGAAGCATTATAAGACGATAGAGGAAGAGATGACCCAAACGGACCATAGCATCTCCACTGTCGGACCGTTCACTTCGTCTTCTACTTCGGCCGGCGATCTTTACCCTGTCAAACTCGACTCTGCCTATTGGGACTCTAGAGTTTAATAATTACAGCTTTTTTTTTACTTCTTTTTGTATTGTTTGAGTTTAAATTTCTGTTGTAATGTTTCGGTGAATTGTAATTTGTAACATAAGGAGACCACTATTACGATTTCGTGTATTTCAAATTGCGAGAGATTGTTCTTAGCTTGCAATGATTCATATTTCATAATGTAGGTTATGGTAAAAATAAATGGAAGATTTTGGTTGAAAATCTTATATTAAATTGAGGAAAATCCGAATAAAAATAGATACAAAATTTTAAAATATTATCCGATTCTTACAATAACAACGGTCATAATATATTTTCAATACATATAACTATATGTATATATTGAAAATTTTGAAAAAAAAATCCGTTATATATTTTGTTTGAAAAAAAAAATTATTTGAATATTTTAAAAATAAATCAAACTAGCTGCTAAAACAAGAAAAGGTATTTAAACCAATATAATGATAGTAAATCCTGTCAGTTATAAAAAACAAAAATACAAAATTTATGGAAAGAAGATTAGGCACACACACTACAACCACATGTAATGTATCCAAAGATGCACAGGTGTATTTTATCTATCAACATGGAGACAAAAGGAACAAAAAGACATACATCCCTACACATATATATATATACACACACATACATGGGTCTGTGTATAAAACCCAGTTGCATGTTGGAAGCTCTCTCTCCTCTCTCTCCCCTCTCTCCCTCTCTCTCTCTTGTGTGACGAATGGGTTTTAGGGTTTATGCCATTTCTTCTTCCTCATCACCTTCATTCGTTCTTGTTCTACAAACTATATCACTACTTGCCCATCTTGTTCAGGGAAAAGGATGTGATATGTTCACAGGGCGGTGGGTGAAGGACACCTCTTACCCTCTCTACGATTCCTCCACGTGTCCCTTCATCGAGCGCGAGTTCGCCTGCCAGAGAAATGGACGGTCAGATCTCGATTTCACTGCGTTCAGATGGCAACCCCTCGATTGCAATTTGGCAAGGTATATACGCACTTGCATTTCTTTTCTCGTTTTCTTACCCTTCTCGTTCTTAGCTTTTGAATTAATTTATCAACAATATAAACGTATAAGAATCTAAGATAACCAAAATAATGATTTGTATCCACTGCATTGGATGTTTTATATATATTGCGAAAATCCTAATTGGTCTACCCTTCTTTTCCTCAATGAAATCACGTCTCTTAGTAAATGCCAAAAATAAAGGGGGTTTGTCTTTTGGTGTAAATTAATATCATTTATAGGATTCAAATCTAACTTAAAAATTCATAAGATTAGATAATATTGTTCAAATTCAACACACCATGTATAATGAAAATAAAAAAAAAGTTAGAAACTTTTAAGTAAAATTTTTTCAAATCGAAATAATATCAAACAACACAATGATTTTACAAACGGATTGAACAGTCTTGATTGCCCTAGATAGGATTTTATTCCATAATTAAGGCCTCTACGTTACAAAGAGAAGAAAAATTATTTTAAATGACATTTTTATTTATTACTATTTTTCTAAAAAAGCACTTTCTTGTGAGCAACCAATGGGAAATTAGATCTTCAATTTTGCCATAATTATGTTCTGTTGGAATCTTTGGACTGCTCAATGTGACACCTTTTTTGTCACTTTACAACTGGTGACGTACGTTTCACGCGCCCTCACAGCGAGTAGGAGCCAGACCAAACTCCTCGTACGAAAACGACATAGATTTCCGATCAGATTCCCCACATGTGTGGACAGTGCAGAAAGCTCTAAAATAATCGGCAAATTTACCCCGATAGTTTCGGATTATTACTAATATATCCTTAATTTTGAACTGTTTAACCCAAACACTGTGTTTTGTTGCAGGTTCAATGGAGTGGAGTTCTTGGAGAGACATAGAGGGAAAAAGATAATGTTTGTGGGAGATTCTCTAAGTAGGAACCAATGGCAATCATTAACATGTATGCTTCACTCTTCCATCCCGAATTCTCCATACAATATCACCCGACAAAACGATATATCGTCCTTTATTTTCATGGTACGTGCTATCAATAATTTTGTCGAACGATTATTTTACGAGCACTTAGGATTGAGAACTGAATTTGTAGCTTTAACACGGTCATAATAGGATCAAGTATGATATTTTGTAGGATTATGGAGTGGAAGTGATGCTTGATCGGAATGTTTACTTGGTAGATGTTGTGAAAGAGAGTATAGGTCGAGTTTTGAAGCTCGATTCGATCAAAGGAGCGAAACTATGGACAGGAACCGATGTGCTGATCTTCAATACTTGGCATTGGTGGAACAGAAGAGGAACTACACAACCGTATGCTTTTATATAATGATGTTTTTTCTTTTATACAATAATGTTGATAACATAATAAGGTTTAAGATGTTGAATGTTTTGTATACAGATGGGATTGGATTCAGATTGGGAACAACATTACAAAGGATATGGATCGTATGGTTGCATTCGAGAAGGCACTTGATACTTGGGGCAAATGGGTTTATGAATTTATAGATCCCAAAAAATACACTGTCTTTTTCCAAGGGATCTCACCTTCTCATTACAAGTAAGTTACTTCCATTATTTTGTATTTGATCTATTCACCATTATTTCATATGTGTTTCTTGGGTCTTACGTTTCAGTGGAACCCTATGGGGTGAGCCAAAGGCAAAGAGTTGTTTAAACCAGAAGCAACCACTTCTAGGGTTAACATATCCCGGAGGATTGCCTCCGGCAGTAGAAGTCGTGAAGAGGGCACTCGATAAAATCTCGAAGCCAGTTACTCTCCTCGATGTTACAATGCTTTCGCTGCTTCGGAAAGACGGTCACCCTTCTGTTTTCGGTTTAGGTGGCCGGACTGGTATGGATTGCAGCCATTGGTGTCTTCCTGGTGTGCCGGATATTTGGAATGAGATTCTTTACAATTACTTGGTTAAGTGATTATACAAACGAAGAGAGAGAAAAACATTTATGTTTGATTCAAAAAGGGTATTCTTTTTACTGAGTAAATGAGCTACTTTTGGCTTGATATATTTCGGTTTGGATCGGTTATTTTAAACCGAGGTTTTCATCGGTTTTTGGTGAATTGATGTAGGATTATGTGTTCGCATAGCCTAAAATATAGAGGATTATAAATAAAAGTTACAACAGTATAGAAATTTTGTACTTAAAACCCGTGAAACGTGATACATGGTCGTTTATAGAGTATGTTGAGGTCCAATTCCTACTGGGTTTTTCAGACATAACTGCCTTGATCTGTCATCTGTGTTCGTTCGGTTCTTAAACTTGCATGAAGCAAAGACTACTAAAGACAAAACTCGGAAAATCATGTCAGAAACTCAAGAGGGGTGTTTGTTGCAGACTTTAGTTCGGAAAATCTTACAGAAATATCAGAGAGGATTTGTAAACTTGGAAGCTAGAGATACATAGAGAGAGGGATACATATATGATCTCATGGCACGGTCTCTTGATTATCTTACTTGATCAACCATCCCAGATCAAGTTGGTGGGCTCGCTTAAAACATACTTTGGCAACTCATACTTGGCTCCTGCCATGTAAGAACAAGATTTGTCTGGTGAAAAGTTTTTTTTTTCGAGAGATTTTCAAGAAAAAAACCGAAAATACTTCCGACCCCGAAGATTACATTACTTCTCTCGTCGTAGCAGATGGTCAGATCAGGGTTCTAAACGATGATTCCTGCACTTTCCACGATCGTTTGTGCTAGAGGTATTTCAACATGAGCTGCAACACGAAAGGCATCCCATATTTCTGCATTCCGAAAGCGGAATAGTAAATTCAGTAGCTAAATCTCATCAGTAAAACTATAAAACAAAAATTAAGGGATGTACGATTTCTCCGAGACATATCGGTAAAATCGTGGAAACAATGTGTATGCAATCGCTTACACAACGTCTAACAGTAGATTTGAACTCAAAAACGTCACAAAACATTGAGATTTCTCACCAATAACACCAAGCTGAATTTCAAAGACATACAGTTCTTTGCCCTATAGATGACACTCTCTAGTTGTACTGTTGGTAATTTTGGTATGACTGTATGAGCTTTATGTTGATGAACTCAACGGAATGGACCGTCTGTAGCTATGGAAAATTATGCTAAACGAGCTCAATTGAGCTAAATTTCTAATTAGACTCTTAGCTAGAAATTGGACGGTGGTTTTTCTATGACGTGTCCAAAAGGATGGGTAGGATTTGGTGAGAAAACAATCGGAAACGCTCAGTCTCATGAAATAGCTCGGACTAAAGCATCTTTCAAAGCATGCCAAAGGAAGAGACAACATAAAATTCTTATATCTTTTCTACCGCCATAGTGAGGAGCGGTGTCCCAAAACTCTTCTGTCAGTTGCAGGAGCTGAGATTTTGTTATCGGTTGAGGGTGCTTCCATGGTTTCGATTTCTTGATTTTCTTCACCGACCCTTCAATAAACAAACAATGTCAGTCCATACATTGCATTAAGTAATAACTGATACCTCCTGTTTCTGGATCTAGGAGCATCTAATATATACTTTTAGCCAAGGAATTCAATTTGCCAAAAACTGTGATAATTGAGGTCATGTTAATGGAGGGTATATTATAATCCATATGCAAAACATGCATATATAATATATAAATCTAGATGCATATGTGAGTATAAATATATGTTAAGGCATATCAAATATGTCCTGTGGAGCTGAAGACTCTATTAATTGCCAAATCAAAATTGTGACACTAACATACACATAGACACAAGTCATATATACTTCACCTACATCCATGTGAAGTGTATCACATTCATTTTGGTCCAGGTGAAAGCTTTGAGATAGAAACTTAGGAACAACTATCAGAGTGACTACCTCTGAAAATCATCAAACTATCCTTAAAACCCTTAATTTCTGAGAAAAAGTCCCAAGAAAGTAAATGGAACATGATAACAGAGATATAATCAAGTTCTTTTCCAATTTGAGAAACTTAAGGCAACCTAAATTCTGCAGGACACTGAGCAACCAAAACATCAAAATAATTCCCAATCTATTTGTTCATCGGCTTAGCAGAAAAGACTGCATACCAAAATACTCAATCATATACCGTCATCCAAAATGTCCTGATGATTTCAGGCGAGTACCTAGAGTTCGACCCTAGATACTATAACTGGTCCGTATGCTTGTAAAAGTCATGTCTAGGTAATTGAAACTAGATGATTCCGAACCTAGTTCTCGGCGTATCAAGTTTTTGACGTTGTTATCGGGGATTCAACGGAATTAACAGATACATAGGAATCCCGAGCGATAACATATATCCATTAGTAAACGATGGGGATTTTCACTTTGGTTTAGGTATTTTTATTTTTTATTTTGAGTGTTTCGGATTAAATTTTCTACCTTTATTGCCTTCTTTGTTTTGTCCGCAGAAATCAGGAGCAACAATGGTGAGAAGTGAGACACCGAAAAGTTATACATGCAAGAAAACTTGCACAAGAAAATGAAAAAACAATTGTGCAGTACAACACCGAGGTTTTGTCGAGGATTTAAATTCTTCAATTAAAAATGATGAGACGTGATCTCACTCCCACGAGTATCCAAATACGTAATGTCGTGGTCTTTCAGACTAGATCAAATAAAGACCATGACGCACATCTGACTCGGTTCAAGACTAGAAAACCAAATCTAACTATCTGACATATCCAATCGAGAGAGGTATACTTCCTCTTCCCGATGGGAGTGCACATCAAAAGGAGTTTTGAAGCACAATGGTCAACCTCATGACCTAAAACGAACCCTTGTCGGGATAAAACCCGATAACCTATCTTTTGTATATAGTATGCTTTATTTCATTATATGTTTGGTGTGCATTTGTTTTTCTACTTTTGTTTGAAAAATACAAGGAGTTGCACAAATACAAGAGAACTCGACGCTCTCGAGTGAGGAGCAAAACGAACACATCCGACGAATAAAGCTCCGTCAATTAAGTACCTCTTCTCCACTCCATTTTCCCATGCATACATTTATCATTTATTTTCTGCGAGTATGGGCAAAATGCTAAGTCTATGGGAATATTCAATAGGTGATAACACTTATTTTATATGATGTTTTGATGTAGGATATCTAGCGTATTTCACTCGGTTTCACACATTTGTAGGCATTTTAGGATACATTTGGCTTCGATATTGGATTTTGTGTTCTTTGGTGTTTAAATAGGTGTTCACGCATAAAGAGAGCAAAAAGAAGTGGAAAACATGGATTATGGAACATCACAGACGAAACGGAAACATTTGGAATGTTTCCAAAAAAAACGTGAAGCTCAGAAAATGTCAGATTTTACATGTCCAATAACTTTCACTCTACAGGTCCAAATCATGCATTCTCTACATCATTGGAAAACTCTTCATATTATGATGTGATAACAAGTATTTTATTTGATGTTTTTGTTGGTTTGGTGCTCTATGATGTACTGTTTATGAGCTATGATTATGATACATTTGATGTATTGACACTTTCTATAGTTTTATGGATTAGTGTTTGATTCATTACGTATTATGCATGCTTTAATATGTTGTGAAATCCGTGTATCATTATGAATGATACTAAACTCCCTAGTCTTGTGTCGTTGTGGGAACAACGACATAATAAGACTAGTATGATGTGTGATAGATGATCATAGGATTGATCATAGGTATTGGATACGATCACAGTCATAGGTATTCGTTGGAGAACGGAATACTGGATTGACCCGCATGAGATTGTCACATGGATTAGCGTCATGACTTGAATCTCATGTGACGGTTCCATGATTGGATCCTAAGACCTGAGATGTCTACGGAATCCAACATGAGGAGTTGCGTGCTTTGATTACGTCAAACGTCCTGCGTAACAGGAGGACTATAAAGGCGTGTATCAGGTACGAAACGAATCATGTACTGGATTGTAGATAGTCAAGACGGGATTTGTACCTCTCGTAAAAGAGAGAGATATCGCTGGGCCCCTCGTATGAGCGAGACTGTAGAAATGTGTGGCCGCACTATAGACGAACGTCGTCTATTTCAGACAGTCGAACTCAGCGAACGAGAAAGCAGTCGAATCAGATAAAGTGGCTTGTCCATGCTTTATGTTCGACATATGATATCGCGATACAAAAGGATCACCAGCCGGAATCATCACTGG